ACTGTGTAGGAGCGTTTACCTTCTGAATGATTCCAGTGAAGGGCTTCTTCACGCCGGCTGTCTTCTTGGTTTTATCGTATTCTGGCACTCCGCCAATATAGAGAGGTGAGCTGCAGTTGATCTGAGTGAAAGCTCCCTGCAAAGCAAACACCACAGAGAGATTAATTATGCCAACCGTCGGGAGAAAAATCTAGTTATGCTTTAAAAAAGAATGTGTTTGTCTGCAATATGATTCTTGTCTTGCTTAAGAAAATCACATGTTTAATCAGGGATGGCGTAATTTCCCACTCCTCGTGCACTTTGCCCTTCAATCAAGTATGAAAGACGAAGGGACACCAAATCATACAACGCTGACATTTAGCCTATTTTCATCATTGGAACTAGTGAAATGCTTCACTGACTTTTCATGAAACTATTACAATGCAGCATCACTGCAACATCAACACATTCAAACCTTTATGAATACTTTGTATATTTAAAAAACTCTCTGCAGTATTGATTTCTTCTACAAATACAAGAATCTGCAATTTTAATATTCATTCTCACGGAAGTATGTGTGCAATGATGTTGTTTTAATGTATAAATTAGGGGTGGGACCACTTTAATGAACGCCTAAAAAACGCGTTAAAGTCCCACCCCTAATATACTTTAAAGCGTTAATTCTGATTAATTAATTACAACAAAAATAACGCGTTAAAAAAACTAACGCATATAATCGCAGCTTGCATCCAGGCAACACGGAACGTTTGTTAGCGCCCAATTTCATGGTCCACCAATCACACTGATGCACAAGATGCGTCAGCGCTACGCTAACAACAACCAACATGGAGGAATCCAATGAGAGTGCATCGCTTGGACTGATGAAGTTTCATTAAAAAAAAACTGCCTGATGGAAGCCTTGACAGGAGCGTGGTTTTGTGCAACTTGTACAAAAAAGAATTTGCATCCCACCAAAGCACATCAAGCTTACGGTACCACATGAATGCAAAGCATGTTGCAGGGAACCCAGAAACCGCCGGAGCTGTTAGCGCTAGCAGTCCTGGATAGCAACACATTTTTTGTTATTTTTGTTGTAATTAATGAGTCGAAATTAACGCGTTAAAGTCCCACCCCTAGTATAAATACGTGCAATATCAGTATTTTTCACATCAATAATCAGAATGTCCACGTATGTAAGAACGTACACAATATCAACAGAACTTAATGCACATATTTCTTGTTTATATTCACTTCCTGCTGATGTTCCCTACGTGTTTGCACTGGCCCCCTTTGCTGCAGCAACACTGCAAATTTCCCCACTGTGGGATTAATACAGGCTTATCTTTCACTTAAGATAGATGAGCACAGGGGAATGTGACGTTTTCCTCAGGAGCTAGAGGACCAAACCGGGGCTAAACGATGAGTAAGTGTTTTACATTTAAAAGGTGACTTTGACTGGACGGCATGTACACAAATGTTGCCTCCACAGCCTTCAGAACCAAATGAAGTGTGTGTGAAGGCTCTGACTTTGTTGTGAAGTCCAAAAAATGTCATAAAGCAATGTTTAAAACACCTCAGCAATTCCTTCCATCGGCCTCTGGCTGTCCACCTGCAGGATGCCGCTCTTCGCTGTGCGAGACACTCTGAGCTCATGCCACGAGTCCAGACTGATCTGCTCCTCACTCCTGCAGCACAGACAAGCTTAGTGTTGGACAGGTAGTTAGAAAGTATGAAAGAAAGGCAGAATAGATTGAGACTGAATCTGTCTAGTACCTTATTACAGCTCCTCCAGAGCCGCAGTCGAACCTGAACTCTACATATCTGTCCACCAGGTTTATAGCCAGGAAGTCTCCGCTGCCTGCGTCATCACTGTACAGCAGCACCCCGTCGGGCAGCGACGGCCGAAATGTCACCTCAAACTCCGTAAAGGACAGATAACTCTGAGAGGACTGAGGCCAGGGGATGACGGCGTACGAAAACACTGTTTCATTGAAGAGCGGCGAGGACACTGAGAAACCTGAGGAACCGGAGAGAGGACATGAGAAAAGTACAGGCAGGAAGAAAGAAAAAGAATTTGAGAGCCATTGGGAAAGAAGAGAAGCCAGCATTCAGGTGATTAAGAGTGAAAAGGGAGGAAAAAGAGGAAAGTAATGAGAACAGAGGAAAATCAGGAGAAAGGACACGAGGACGAGGAGAGAAAGTGGAAGGTTATATTGTATGAAGGCTGGTCTGACATGTAATCAATCCCTCTGCCTCCATATGACAAATAATAATCCTCATCTTAACCAATTTTCTTCGTATTGCTCTCAACTGTTGAGTAATTACCTTAAAAGGCCCGTGTGACAATACGAGCCAGCCATCGAGAACGAGCAAACCGCAAAGTGATTTTATTTTCTACTGTTCAAAACTCTCCTTGCAAATAGGACGTGTGTGTTCTGCGTGCAGGTGTGGCTGAAAAAGCAAAGTGGACTCACTCTCTTCGCAAAGCGCTCCTCTGAAGCCCAGCGGACACAAGCAGATGTAGCCGTCAGCCCGGTTCGCAAAGCACACGCCGCCGTTGGTGCAGCTGACCAGATCGCACACACTGTCACTGCACTCGCCTGAGGACACGAGGACAGAATCAACTCACGTGTC